AATTAAAAACAAAAATGTCAAATAAATGTAAAATAATGTAAATAATGTTTTAAATGAAACCCTAAAGTATTTATACATCATATTAGCATGTAAAAAAATCATTGCACTGCATCATTTAATTCTAAAATTTGCACTTACATGTATATATAATTACACTGATCACATGAGAACTTAGAGTAATGGGATTTGCAATAATAATAATTAAAACATCCAGAGATTTTAGAGTAATAAAAATGTAGGGCGAAAATATGCTTAATTGGCATTATATTAACATCATCACACAGTCTTAAATGATACTAAAAGGATATATTTTTTTATTTAGGGGTGGAATAGGACCTTGAGACACCTAACGAGCCCTCATCCTGACCTGATTTAATCAAAACAAAGCAAAACAAAGTCAGCATCTTCATATTGTCTTTATTTTTAGTGGACAGCAAATAAAAGGTCTGATAAATTAATTATTGATTGCAGTGGTCAGTTAAAAGAAAAAAGCACTTCCCTTCTTTTTGTTAGTTTATTTATTTATCTGTTTATTCACTTTGTACTCTCGGCTGGTGCTGTTTTGTAGGGTTGAGTGGATGGATGTGTTTTGTTCTGTGGGTCAGGGGTGGGTTTTTTTTGTGTTACAGTACTTGCATCTTGTAAAAATGTTTACATTTGCAAAAAATGATTCAGTATTGTCTTCTGCCTAGGACCGAAAATACATTTTTATCAAACAACCATACAAACAAACAGATCCCATTGTGCTTGGCCTAACACACACACACACTCACGGTATCATTACTCGTGCACATTACAGTGAGAGGAGACAGAACGGGGGCACTTTGTAAATGTCATGGGCCGAGGGCTCTTCCACCTTCTTTGCTGGATGGAATAAAATGAATTGAAGTGAACACTATCGTATTGAACCATTCGGTACGAGGCTTTTGGTTCGGTACGCATTACAAACTGAATGATTCGTTGGAGTAATTCTGTTATATTTGGAAAATAAAAGAGCTTAAAGTGTGTGAAATATAATGTACTCCAGGTTGTGATGGTGAGTTAGTTCGTTAGAGTTTTCCCTCTTTTCCTCGCTTTTATTAGCTTTTAAATAGCTTGTAAACGCTTGTGCGCATTTTACTTTCACTTTCAAACTAGCGGCATTTCGGCGTCAATTGATTCTATCAGCAGCCGCAGCAAGATAAATCTGTCGTTTAAAAGGGACTTGCAATTAGGTGTGCAGGGGCCAGCAGGAGGGCAGGGCTTTCAAGAGCCTGCTGCCATTAACCTCCTTTCTACTGCCGCATTGACCTGGGAAGTGTAGTTTTTAGTTCCCCAAGCCTGAATTTGAATCATCCGCTCACCAAAAAAGAACTACAAAGAGGATGATGCTAATATTTGACCTGTTTGTAAAACGGCTTTGAAAGCCCGATTTACTTCTGTAAAGTGGCATTTCTGAGTAAAACGAATGTAGGGTGGGAATTTGATTCATTTAAGTGACTTGAATCTTTTGAATCAATTCAAGATTTGTTTCCTGATTCATTCTACAAGTTAAACTGTTTTGCCAAAACTCACTTACATTAAGCATAGAATGTTTAATTTATTAACAAAACGAATACAAATACACCATGCTATAGGCCTAATATAAAATAAATAACTTACACAGTTTAAATATAAAACACTGAAAATCAGCAAACATGGTGGAACCAAATAAATAAGAAATGAATGTTAAAAAAGCTTAGATAAACGGCAAAAGTCAAAAGGCCTTCCAAAGTCAAAAATATTTTTAAGATCATATGATACTAGTTTTAATAAAAAAAAAAAAAGAAAAGTAAAAATCAAGGAAATTTATCTTGCATTTCTTTGTTTTTGCTGTATCGAAAACATTTTTTTTTGTGGCGTAAGAGCTTGTGTTTTGCAATAAAGTAAACTTCATACTGAATTACCCTCATTACTCATGACATTCTGCTGCTTTTTCAGCCATTCATTCTCCACTCCCAACCTTCTTTCCCCTCCTTTGTTATTTCAGACCCATAGTGTTCAAGTAACATGAGAAACCTGCCGCACAACTTCACATTTACGATCCAGAGCAATTAGTCATACCAATATTGCTTTATCTGTTATATATAGATAGATAGATAGATATAGATATAGATATAGATATAGATGATATAGATAGAGATAGAGATATAGATATAGATAGAGATAGATAGATAGATAGATAGATAGATAGAGATATATATAGAGCTGTGCAATAATAAATTTTACATTTTGCAATGATATAAACAATCATGTAGCTGAGATTTGCTATATAGCATATTGCTTTGGGTGTAATGAATGCAAGTAAAGTTGGATGTACTATATATTCAACAAATTACACGTAGAAAGTGGGCAAAGCAGGTTTCAATTAAGTTTTTACATCAATTTAATTGTACAAGTATATATCAGATATTTTTACACATTAATAATCCATGCACTTCCTTTCTCTCCTTGTTGTGAATGAAACTCTCATGATGAGTTAAATTAACACAGCAAATCGGTCAGCAGTCGTCTTGTTCAGACTGAAAACACTGGGAAAAAAATATTAAAATTAAATATTGAAATGACAGATTTGTTCAGGAACAAAAAAGACAATATATTGAAGCAAAGTTTGAAACGAAAGCCATTTTAGAGGTGAAGAAGCTATGTTTTAGTGAAAGAATATGAAGACATTTTTTCTTCGGAATAATGTGCAGTGATGAACCGTACACAATAAGACAGAAACGTACTATTAAAATGCTTCTGTTGAAGGTAGGAAACAGACGCTTAGCCCCTCGTGCACTTTTAAACATTTCTGCGGTCTTCACCTCAAGCTTTATCTCACAGTTCACCTCACACCTCTCTCTCCAGCGTCCCCTTCCACTCACCCCTTTTCTCACCCAATCCTTCTTGCTCTCGTGCGTTTTCCTCTTCACACTCTATCTGCGTGACCTTCATCTGCTCGCCACTTTCAGCCCGCGCCAAAAACGTAATCACACACTGTCAAGCTGTAAGGAGAGGAGGAGAAGGAGGGCGAATTCTCCCCCTCTTTCTCTCGGCTCCTCTCTTCTTTAATGCCCTTTGCGGTGGCGAGGAAAGAAGGGGGAAAATTTATGGTTGGTGGGACAGGTGGGGTATGAACAATGGGCAGAAAGGAGTGCAGGGTTATCTGGTGGGGCGCGGGAGAGCTCGCGGCGGGGAAATCGATGTGACCCGTGATACACTGCCATCACAATTCCCACCCCAGCCGTCCTATTTGTCTTGCGTAGGGAGCCCTAGACGGCCCATGTCAACGTGCGTGGAGAGAGGCCCCGGCCAGATTAGCCAGGGTGAATCATGACCGCTCACACTTTCTTATTCAGCCCCAGTTCTATCTGTTATTGCTGCTGCAGTGGGGCTAGAGTTTGCGGCTTGGCACTGTGGGTGGGAGGGGTTGCCTATGGGGATTGTGGGTAAAATATGGATTGTGTGTGTGAAAGTAAGAGATTAACTGCTATACGGAGGTTTGGACATAGCAGCTTTCTGTTTCTTCGGAAATACACTGTGAAGTGCTCACTCGGTCTATCTTCTCCCCGCTGAGTGATATTCACGGTTACTGTTTCTGGGTGTATGGTAAACCCTCGCTTTGATTATAGCCAGTTCATCCTCTGTGAAACAAATTTTGTAGGCTGTATGGAACTCACTTCAAGGTGAAGAGTTTCATTTCTGGAAAATACTTTCCAGTTTGTTACGCAGAGACTAAGTGAGCAATTTGTAGGTTGACTTTTTTTCTAATTGTGGGACTGTTAAAATTTGCTCTGTGTGTTTGAGTGTCCTGACCAGCCTGACACAGCAACAGCTCAACCAATAGGGTGAGGTTGGGGGTGGAGCTATCTGTTTGTTTGACCAATGGTAGATGGGGAGGGTGGGTGTTTGGAAAACATGTTTTTATCTTTTCAGTTCTGCTTGGTGACACGGAAATGGCACAATTTACTTTTAAAGTCCGCGTGAACCGGAAGTTGCTGCCGACTTTATTTCAGTGTAGTGACGTATTTCCTTCTGAAACGGAATATTGAATAGAGGGCATGGTTTTATTTTGGCGCTCCTCCTCTCTGTCTCTCACTCATAGCAATCTAACGGTTGGAGGGGTGGGTTAAAAAGGATATTCTGCCCAAGCCGTCAAACTGACATCATCAGAGAAGGACTGCCATTCCAGAGCAGAAGCAAATGTTCAGATTTTGATTAAAGATTACCAAGACAAAAAATTTTTTTCAGCGGATTAACTTGCATGGATTGTTAACATCAAGACTAGCAATGTGCACTAGTAAAGTAAATAAAGTCCATTTTGATTTCATGCCGACTTTAAAAATCTATTAATTTAATTTCAATAGATTTTGCTGTAGTGGTCAACTGATATTTTGATATATAAATTTATATATAGATAGATAAAATGTTTGCATAACAGTATGTAAATCATTATACAAGTGTTAGACAAAGAAATTAAACGGTATATGAAGATATTTTATAGAGTTTGCCTTTCTACTTGGTCTTATGAGTTCCAGTGCACATAGATTTACCAAATTACTGTAGGTTACAACCTTTTTAGTCATGTTTCTAACAATTTCTTTATGAAAAAAAAACTATAATAGGATTATAGAATCAAGAGGTAAATCTAAAGCGTCCAAACAATAAATGTTTATTTAAATTTTTTTTATATCGATTCATTTTCATTTTTATTAAGGATGTCAAATTAAATTATTCTAATTGCAGCATGTGTTATATGTATTGATTTATTTATTTATTTATGGCTATCAATAACATTCTACATTGGCCAACCACTATTTTACGTAGAAAAAAAGAAACTTCTGGTGATAAATTACATAATATTAAATTACTTAAAAATATATTAATAAATGCTTTAACAGCTTATACAAATGTAAATAGTCACATGCATTAACATGTTAACTTTCTAGAAATACTGGCATGACTATTGACAACATATGTTCTGTTCTGTGTTTTCTCAGATGAGGCTCAGTTAGCTTTGCCCATACAGAAACCAGGGTTCGAGAAGCTTCCTCTGGGCACTCAGACTCTTCCTCCAGGCTTCCCCGCTCCCTTCCTGTTTGCAGATGGCCTCTCTTCCGTGGAGACATTGCTCACTAACATCCAGGTACATGCAGTGTGTGTTTTATGTATATTTGTTAGAAATATTTAAATAAAAAATTAGGGGCTGTCAATAGATTACAATTTTTAATTAATCACACCCTTTTTTTGTGATTAATCGCGATTAATCGCACACTTCATGAAATTAAGCATAGACCATTTATCTTGTTTCAAATGTTTATTTTTTCATCATTTGCTATATTCAGCGAAGTAAACCAAAAGATTGAAGGGTGATTCTCAAAAATCTGTATTTTCTGCAAGCTTTTTTCATGATAAATGTAGGTCTTTCCAAAAAAGGACTCCAAAAGGACACCAAGGAACCAAATGAAATAAGGAGCCCATATAAGCACATATGCAAAAAAAGAAAAAAATCTGAATTGTATAGTGTGTACAGTGCAACAGCAAATAGCTGTTTTACATTTTAGAGAAGTCAAGTTGCGATACCGAACAGGACCACATGGTGATGCCAAAAAAAACCTAAACCAACCAACGGCTGACTGCATATATCTACTGCAGTACACGAATCCATTCAGAATAACTAAAGAACCAAATGAAATAAGGAGCCCATATAAGCACATATGCAAAAAAAGAAAAAAATCTGAATTGTATAGTGTGTACAGTGCAACAGCAAATAGCTGTTTTACATTTTAGAGAAACCGTAGTTTGCGTCTCATCTGGCCATACAGCGGTGGGATGTGTCGACATTCCGTTCAGTCTGTACATCCAACAAGGGCTCGCGCTCTTCAGAGACAACCGTGCTCTTCAGAGCTCGTGTTTAAAAGCGAAACACACTGGAATTATGTAACGCCAACTGCCAATTCAGCTCCTGCCGTTTGCGCCAAGAAATTAAGCCAATTATTCAGCTGGATAACAACTCTGACAATATGTACAAACACCTCAATAATTTATTAGCCATGGCTGTTACAGCATTTCATGTTCTTTTATTGCGCACTGTTATATGGTGGATGATTTGGCCAATCAAAGGCAAGTAATTAGAGGTGTGAGGAGGAAGGGACATACATTTAACACTGCAAGCGAGCGAACACGCCGGGAGCTTGTTTTAAGGTCTTCTGCCAGACTCCGAGTGTTTCAAAAGGCCGTTAATTGCTGTGAATCCACATATACAATGCAGAGCACTAATTCCGAGTATGGGTCACCATACTTGGCCACATGTCATGTCACATAACACAGTCGCTATTCATGTCTGATACTGTATGTAAGCACTTGCATTACCATAGCAACAATTGATGCATTTGTATTACAAGCTCCGTTATCAGCTCCACAGTGAAAAACGAAACCATACTCATGCTGACTGAACTGGATTGGCACAGAACAGAATGGTTTAGCAACGAGAAACTTTTGGCCCAATGGTGGAAAAGCAGCTTATGATATGTGATTCCATAGAAGCCAAAACCACTTGCGTAATTGTTGAACTCCAGCAGAAATATCCAGACTACACATAACCTTGAAGAGAGCTCCACCAATCAGAGAAGTCACTGGAAATGAGCACCATGCTTAGCAGTGACATCCACTCCCATGATGCATTTCCAATTTCAATTCCATTTCCCCACACTTACATATATATGTGACCCCGGACCACAAAACCAGTCTTAAGTGCCAATTTTTCAAAATTGAGATTTATACATCATCTGAAAGCTGAATAAATAAGCTTTCCATGATGTATTAGGATATGACAATATTTGGTCGAGATACAACTATTTGAAAATCTGGAATCTGAGGGTGCAAAAAAATCTAAATATTGAGAAAATCGCCTTTAAAGTTATCCAAATGAAGTCCTTAGCAATGCATATTACTAATCAAAAATTAAGTTTTGATATATTTACGGTAGTAAATTTACAAAATATCTTCATGGAACATGATCTTTACTTAATATCCTAATGATTTTTATCATTTTGACCCATACAATGTATTTTTGGCTATTGCTACAAATATACCCCAGCGACTTAAGACTGGTTTTGTGGTCCAGGGTCACATATATGCATATTTTGAAGTAAACGTCAAATATATTGTATTTAATTAATGACTTGCATTCAGTGGTTTAATATTGTACAGTTGTTTGTGATTCGAATCAGTTCACAATGCTTTATGGTATGAGAATTTATCCAACAGGAAAGATGGTTTTCCAGCATTCTCTTTTTCATATGTTCTTATACCAATTTCTGGCTCAAATCAAAGAGTATTGAGATTCTCTTCACTTTTTGATTTGGTTCAAGGCTTATAACAGTTTCTTTGAGGATAATATGTGTGAAGAAATTGTTTGGAAAATACATCAAGAATACGGAAAATGTGGGCAGTGGATTTTACGCTTTCCCAGCCAAATATAACATGTATTATATTTAAGATTGTGTTGCATTGTGGTGCATTTTTACTTTCATTGACGTAACATTGGAAACTCGTCACATCGCGCATTGTTTGGACATGTACATACACAGTTTCTCTTTACAGTCTATCCTGTGATACTCTCTCACAGTATCTTTAAAGATCTGCTTGTTCAGAACTTCCCTCAGTTTGTCCATTAATATTTCGTTCAACCTTCTGTTCATTCTCATATTTTTTTAGTCGGTGCTGATATTGGTATTTCCGTCTAGGTCATAACTATTAGCAGTGCATTAGCGTCATAATTTCAGCTGAGGAAATGGAGTCTGATGTTTATCATAAACGCTCTAGATACACACAGTTATCAAGGCCAAACCATTTTCCTAATCGCTTGCTGTTGTTTTGATTACACTTGTTTAATTGTGAATATCTTAACAGAAGCAGAATTTGAATGGGGGGGGGGCAGGTACATTTGCAAGACATCTGCAAGTATTTTCATGAGTGCTGGAGCAATTATTAGGCCAAGCCTGATTAGACGCGAATTCATTATGAGAAATGCACTTTGTTTTTGCCTTTCATCTGAGGGGAATGCTAGAAAAAGATCCATATTGTGAAGGTCTGCTGTTACGTCACATCTCTCCTCAGATAAAGCTACTTCCTTTTGTTTATCTGTGCAACACAGCCTTTGTCGTGGAGATTTTCCAAGTGCAGTTCAACTCAAGTGAGCTAGGCAGACAACATGAATCAAAAATAAAAAAACTAATAAAAAAAACTTTTTTTAATGTGTAATAATACTAACTACTGTTCAAACGTTTGGGTCAGCAAGGCTGCATTTATTTGATTAAATATAACATAAAAACAGTAATATTGTACTGTAATATTAAGTTTATTACAATTTAAAATAACTGCTTTCTATGTTAACTCATTTTAAAATGTAATTTATTCCTGTAATGCAAAGCTGAATTTTCAGCATCATTACTACAGTCTTCAGTGGAGAAATCATTCTAATATAATATAATCATTCTGCTCAAGACATTGGTCAAAACATTTCTGATTATCATCAATATTGAAAACAATTGTGCCACTTAATATTTTTGTTTTTAATATGCACTTAATATGTTTATTTTTTAGGATGCTTTAATGAATAGGAAGTTCAAAATAACAGCATTTCTTTGAAATAGTAAAGAGTTTAATGCAAAAAGTTTAAATGCTGAATAAAATAATTATTTCTTAAAAAAAAACAACAACAAAAAACACTTACTGCCCCCAAAGTTTTGAATGTGTAATTTTAATGAAACTTTCTCCACCTCTTTTTGTTTTTAATTTCCCTTGAGGGGATCCCAGAAAACCCTCAGTGAGGTCAATGTAGTTCAGGTTGTAAAATGTGACAATATTATTAAAAATGTTATTTGTAAATATATTTATTTGAGACAGAGGTACCAATGGCATGTTTTACTGATAATGTACCGAGAGGTCTAATTGTGTGACATATTTGATTGTAGAGGCAGTGATACCAGAGGTGATGTCTGAACATAATGGCAGCCAGCAGGAGAACTCAGCTGTACAAGGTAAGAATTTACTGTATGTAACCTACATGTGTAACTACAAAACTCGAAATAAAGACCTGACATCATACATATGGTCAATAGTCTGTATTTGAATGGAAGGTAAAAATGGCTGCAGTTGAGAAGATGCAACCAGCCATGTGCTGTACATATGGTCCAGAGGCCCCCCTCTCTCCTGGGGCCGAACCCCAGCAAAACTACCAGAGTAAATCCCTGAACTTGCCTTACATCTCATTGGGTCCCTTTGAAGATGTCCAACTGTTTCGGGAGCGAGATTACAAACTGATGTTTTCATGTGCCTTTCACGCCTCCATTCCCCGAGATCTATTTGCGCTTTACAGCTCTTCTGCACACACTCATACAGTTTCATTCTCATCCCTGTTCCATCTGTCTTTCCCCCTTCCCTCCAAGCTAGCCTCCCAAATCTGGCCAAAAGTTGTGTGTGATAAATGGGACCTATTATCAACACGTCTGACGGCGAATTAAAGACCCGCTGCCGTACATCACATTGAAATGTGGGGCTGGGGGAAGGTGAATAAATACATATGTTTACAGAAGATGCAGTGGAAATGGGCGGCAAAGTGCTCCTCTGAAAATGAGCGGAATGTTTTTTTTCCACTATATAGCCAATTTCACAGTCTGCAAATAAAGAGACGTCCATTTTTCTTCTGGCTTTGACAGCTGCGCATGTAAAGGAGCACTGCTGAAGCGTTTGCAGAGTAGATATCGCCAGTTTTTTTTCTTCTTTGGGGCAGCACCAAGGTTCATACGCAGTGTAAAGGGGTCATCGGCAGGTTTCTCGGGTTGAATCAGACATAACTTCACCCTAAATCTGTTGCACATCTCATGTTTCAAAGTCTGTAACTTTCAACTCCAGGTCAGATCTGCAAAACCTGCAGATCAAAGACACGCAGCCTTAGACCAGACTGAGAAATACATCAATTGTTATTTTGTAGGCCGACATCTGGAGACAGAACAGAGCATGCTGTTGTCAAATCTTGTGAGACATCAAGTAACTCATGACTTTTGAGTTGGTTTTCAACCATTAAGTGATGATCATATACAATCACATTTGCTTATTGTAAAAAAAGTAACAATCCCGAAACAAATCTAAACAGTTGGGTTGCGACCCACTAGTTGAGAAGCACTTATCTTGAAATCGTACAGGATTTCATTCAGGCCTAAAAATTGACTAGGGAGCCATTGGCTCCTAAAATAAAAACTTTTAGGACCCAATAGCTTTTTTTAGTTATCACAAATTATAGAATTGGTTGATCAGAAGCAGTTAGTTCCCATGCTGTCACTAGTAATCCTGATCTGTGTCATATAAAGGTCACTTTGTTTTGTAAGAATATTTCTGGCTGTTTGGAGGGGAAAAAATTGTGTTGATGGTTCTAACATGTTATACATATTACTCCCAAAGTTTCCCTTGCAATGGATTCAACATTATGGAGGCCCTAAAGAGACATGGAGATGGAAATAAAGATGAGATGGGAGGAAAAATTATATTTCCATGCTTTGTGTTCACTCACAAATTTTAGAGTTCCCCAAGAAGCCTCACGTTTGTTTCTCAAGGGAACACAAAACATTTGCAAAAAAATTTTTTATCGGGGAATGCAAAAAAAAGTTTTGCTGGAGTACACAAATGTATTGAAATATTTTTTTTTTCTCCATCATGTACCTTTAGGGGCTCTGTACAAGATTACAGTCAGACCTCACTATGCTTAACAATGATTGTGATTTTTTTTTTAATGAATAGCATTTATTACAATGAAGTTTTATGTATCTTTAAATGACAAATAACAGTTCCCAGTTAATTCTGAAAAACTGAAAAATTTAATTTGCGACCATTTTAGTGGCACTCTGGAGGCCTGTGGAATGTAGTCAGTGACTTGAGATGAGGCGTCACTAATGTGAGCATAACAGCAGGGATTAGTTTTCGAGCTCCGTCACAATGCCCCTGACCTTTAGAGCAACAAGCAGAACCAGGAAACGTGAAGATCAGACCTTTCCCCTATAACGCAGAGGCTAATATGAGGTGCAAACTAGTCTCTCTGCTACGGGACTGCAGTCGCTCTGACAGTACTTTGACTGCGCCCTACAATGGAAAAAACAGCTTTGCATTACATTTTAATACCTCACTAAAGGGGAAAAACAAGTTCAATACAGTTACAGTTGATAATTCAGTGTAGGGCTGTACAGCAGTGTTAATTTTGACAGCAAATTTTGATTTAGTTTTAGTCATAGTCTTTTGACTAAAATGCCATTTAGTTTTAGTCATCTGAATTGTTTTTAG